ACCTTCTCCAGCAAACAAATCTTCTCCTACTCTTGTAAACAGTGTTGAAATTGGAAATTCATTAAACTGTTGTTTATAGACAAAAGATGGATGAATGGATGGATGGATAAATAAAATCCCACATTGACCTTATCACTTACCCCATCTCTTTGTGTGTCTCTCTCCCTGCAGCTGGGTGGCCTACCAGTTCCCTGGTTACCGTGGCTACCAGTACATCCTGGAGAGAGACAGACACCAAGGCGAGTACAGAAACTACAATGAGTTCAGCACCCAGGCTCACACCAACCAGGTGCAGTCCATTCGCAGGATCCAGCACTAAGCTTCCACTCGGCCTGCCTGACCCAGCCTGAATAAAATGAAATTGAAAAACTCTCCCCGAACCCTTTCCTCTACCTGAGCCCCGGACAGACAAACCACTGTCACAGACCTGTAGATGGATTAACTCTCTCTCATTCTGTGGCTCTGCATGTATGGATATCTAAGTACTTCTACTACCATGCTAAAGCATGTTCTTGAAATAGGAAATAAAGGCTTTTCTTCAAAACTAGAGACTGTCAGTATTTCTTTTTTTTTTCCACAACCAACTTTATCAACCCACCTAAATAAAGCTCAGACAAACTGCAATAATTGGCTATAAACTGTCAGTTTGTTCCTTTGTTTATGATGGTACTCGTACTGCAGGCGCACAATCACAGCAAAATCAGAGCCCATATTTCTTTTGGTCCAAAGAACCAGGCGGATATCAGACATAGGTTTATGCTTTGTATTTATTTGAAAGAATATTTAGGCCTATAGTGAACCTTCATGGAAATGAATTTACTCTGTTAGGCTTTAGGATGTGCAATATTGTTCTTGTCGGACTGTATTCTTATTTCCAATAAACAAGAGCACGAGATCACATTTGTTTCTACTGTTTGTTTTTCGACAGCTTTCGGGCACTAATTGCAAATAGATTGGCAGGTGTAGCATAACTATATGCAAATCACTATATGACCTTTTGGCTGGTTGTTATATGTAACCAAGCAATTTAGGTTTTTGACATGAAGAAATTAATAGATACAAATCAGAGTAGAATCATCTTTTTAAAAACAGAATTAATCCAAATTCTCTTGCTCTTGCTTTGTTGATTGACCACTTAAACAAGTTGAGTCACATTCATTTATACAGCATCTTAAATATAACAGGAGTTGAGCCAAATCATGGGAAAGGAAGGTAACACAAGCATGGATAAAAAGATAAGTACAATGCCAAAAATAAAAATCACACAATGGCAGAGAGGATCAGTGAAAATGAATATTACAAATAAAATCAAAAGACATAAATAAAGTAAACTACTGACTTACATTAATAGAATCATATGGGACAGACTCAAAAGCAAGATTAAAAGCAAGATTAAAAAGTAGCACTTATAGCCTCTTCAAGAGCTTGTAGTTTTTGTGGTTTAATTATCCTGTGAAAATACCCCAGAGGCCTGAAAAAGGTCCTCCAGCTGCTTCATGGTGTCACGTGCAGACATGCAGCTGACTTTATTTAAACTGTTAGATTATTCTATGAGCATCTTAGAATTCAAAATGCCTCTATTGTCGTGTTGCTCTGAATAGTTACAAAACGTAGCACCATTCAGAGGGGAGCAAAGCCACTGTGTCTTATTCCAACGGGCCAACAGAAAGACAAAGCATTGTCCCCTGTAAGGTTTTAAGTTATTGACGAAAATTAGGGATGTATGCACTGTCCTAGTTCTTGTTTGAATACCAGGCCTGTCTGACTGCTCACTAGGCATTATCTTAAATACACACATAAAGTCTTCATGTTCACAATAAAGTTTTCACAAAGGTGTGCTACACAACTAGCAAGCTTATACTGTTATCTGATGACATTTCTAAATTTGGTTACTGGCCTGTGAAAAACATCGTCAAGATGCCAACTCCCTATGATTTACTTTGTGACAGTGCATTCGTCAGATAATTCAATGTGAAAAATCAAAAATGAAAGAAAGCCAAACTCTTTACGTTTGCCAATGAGTCACTGTTCGATCAAAAACAGAGTTAATGACTTTAATATTGTTCTGCAGCACATTGCTTAGTTTAAACCCGGTGAAAGCCATGGATCTTAACCCAGGGTCACAAAGGTGAAATGAAGAGAAGCAGGTTAGTCAGGTGAGATGTTTTGAGATGTAACTGCAACAAACAGTTATGGTATTTATGTGATTTACAAATGAACATGTGGTCCATTTATTTTGATGATTTGATTCAGCACCGCAACCTGGCACATAACAAAACCTTGCTCATATGAGTTCTAGTCGCTTAGCATTTGTTTGTTTATTCTAATGGGGAACCATGATGTTTATCTTACAGTCGTGCGCCGGGATCCTGGAGTGTGTTTACCTCTGCACACACTCCTCCTGTCGGTCCAGGACGTGGGATTCCGTGTTACACACCCATGAGCCTGCACTGTCTCACAGTCCCACACCCAAAAGACCAGGATCTTTTAATAAATGTGTAACCATGCACACACACCTTTCACAAATATACATTCCTGTGGAGCCTGATTAAAGAGGCTGCACTCAGGTCTTGTTGAGGAGTGACACTTGAGTGGTGCAGTTGCAGGCTGGGGCTCTTCGGGTGCACAGAGGTAGGTTTGAGACTACAGAGGAATTTTGGAACAGAATCTTGATGACAGCTCTTCTTAGTAGGTTATTACTCTCTTGATTATCGATCTATTACTGTAATGCTTTAATTTACTAACTACTTTGACACAAGGCCCAGCACCTGGATCAGAGACTTTTAAATCATGGTTTAAGGCGATACTAATGTGCTTTTTAGTGGTAACGGTTACCTTTAATGCTGACTTAGTGCCAATAACGTCAAACTATCGCCCAAACATGTGCTTTTTCTATTTTCTTTCCGTCGGTGGATATCTGGCCTCCTGCTCATCACTGCAGATGAATATTTATCCACATTTATCTACCACTCCGTCCAGGGATATGCAGTCTAGTTTTCCAGGCTTGTTTTAAGTTGCCTGCGACTTGTACATGGACACAGGCAGCTAAAGCAAGTCTGGGACGCCACAGACACAACTACAAACCCCATCACCTGAGGAGCCGCAGCCGTGCGAAGAACGGAAAATCCAATTGTTTTTAGATCAGGAAGAAGGAACATGGGAAATATATTGTTTAATCTGCATTTACCACCAATGCAAGCTTTTGAGGACTGAGAGGAAAACCCTAATCCAATACTTTGCATAGCCTGATACTATCTACTTTCATAAAGTGATTATTTTAGATTGGATTTAAAAACCTGCTATTACCTTAATAATTAACATGTATGTATAATCTTATACTCACTCAACTATGACCTAGTGTTTTGAGGGTGTGTGCTTATTTGAGCTCAGTCAGGTGACTTCAGATGATGAATGATTAGAGGAGCATTCACTTTCAGTTGACTCAACAAAGAAAGCTACAAAATATGTTTTTCATTTAAGGTCAAGTTAAGAATTGGGGATTTTCTGTTGGGTGATGTCATATTTTAAAACATTTTGAACATTTCTTATGAAAATTATTCAGCTTCTTTTTTCCACCTTTTTCAAGGGGAAGCGTCTGAAAGTGAACTGATGTGTTTACATTGCACAGAGCTGCATAAACCATGTTTTTGTTTTTATGCCTGCAGTAGTACTGATGACTCTCTTTGTCTTTGTACGGCATGAGGACAAGACACCCCTGCAGGAATGCACATATATCAGTGTCTCATTTTTAGACCATTTAAAAAGACTTAATTGGCCTTGGTGTATTGATTAGACGATATTTCGTGTTGTGACAATGACACACGGGGAGCAACAGAGGTGACTAACACATGTCCTGAAATCAACAGGGACATCAGGGACATTATGGCTACATGATACACATCTTAATCATCCACCTTCTGTTTTAAGGTGGTGGACAAGCCTTTATCATCCAGTAATTTTTTTACATGCTTATAAACTAAACAGATATCGACTGTTTTATACTTAAATCAATGGTGTTACAGCAATTGCTATAAGAGCAGTTTTCAAAATAAAAGTCCTTAGAATGTCACAGACTAGGCCTGATCGATCATATGCTGCTGGAGATCTGGGGTTGAACTCATATGTGATATTTATTAATAAAAGACATTTGAATGAAACGCAATCAATGTGATGCATGTGTACTGTCCACAGTATTTACACCTGCGTGAATAAAATGTTTGAAATCTTCCGCATGTCTGTGTGAATTGTGAAGCAACATTGAATCTGTCACCTTCAAAATATCTGTGTATAACTAATGTGAACTAGATTCTATAAACACTATGTAATCTAGTGTCCAAACCAGATTTATAGGACCAAAGCCCATAGTCTTTGCACAGCCCATTGCTTCTAAAAAAACAGAAGAAGGAGAAAAATCTGATTGGACCTGATAAGATCAGTGAGCATCAGGGACCATGGTTTTAAAGTTACAACCTCATTAGCCTCAGATACAGGCTATATAACCTTAAACCCACAAACAGAAGGTCCAAGGGTGGGGGTGGATGAAATGTTCTTGTTTTCTCATGTCCACTGGAGCGTGTATCTCCAGGTAAATGTTCTTTTTCCAACATGAAATAGGTCTTTGTTGTTTGCCAGGAGGTAAAGAGGCGGAAAAGTGAGGAGGATCTGAACTGGTTTCCATGTCAAACACTTCAATTCACCATAGAGACTCAGATCTTAACGTGGAAACTTTATTAAACTGTGATGGCGGATTGATAAGGGCCGAATTTCTATCGGCCCTCTTTTTATTGTGGGCACCAGGCGGGCTGACAGAGGTAAATTGCTCTTTTAATTAAAGCAATGCACCAGGGGAAATTGCTGTCTGAATATTGTCTCAGAGATGGGGGCCAGTGACAGTTGCCTGGAAACTTCAATCTGTCCACCCGCGTTTATTCCAGATCCCAGTTATGAGATAAAGTTTAATAAAAATCGTTTCCTCCGCCGCCGACGAAATGAAATCCAACCCTTTCTGAACAAGTGAACACAATGAGACAGGACTGCGGAGGAAACCTCATGTTCAGCATGTATCTCTCAGGTTGGTCTTTTAGTCCTTTAAAGACTCTTAGAAACATGGGGATGTTTTTAAACTCTTTCTGCAGACTGCGGGTCCTCCAGGCGCGGCAGCTCCGTCTCCCTGCAGCGGCGCAGCTTCGTTCACTTTCAATCTGAAAGCCCGTCTGCTCTTTTGTCGGAAATCGGAAATCCTTTTTCCTGGACGCGTTTCCTGGCTCCTCCGCAGAGGACCCCGCAAAGACGACACGCTTCACGCGTCAGTCCGCCACCGCTACCGGGACACTATTAGGATTTTTCTTATCTGGACCTTTAGTTGAAATGTTGTGATGTTTAATTTTTCAATTTTTATTTTTTTGGGATAATATGCACTGGGCTGGTTTATTATACAGCCACGCCTAATATTCAATCACATCATTTGTTGTTATTATTATCAATATTAATTCTTTGAAAACAGATTCAGTATTTTTTAAATTACATTCATTCTTAGTAATAAATCTGGACACAAGTGGATTTATTTTCTTCCCCCAGCAAAGCAATTATTAGTTACATTTCAGAAGCAGCAGCCGATATACGGACATCAGGCCTGTTCCTGAAAGCATCTTCTCTTCTGTGATATATTATAAACAGGAAGGATTAGGCAGCTGATGAGGAGGAGGGTGATGATGGTGATGGTCATGACGATTTGTGTGGTTTGATTTCAGATCCAACAGAAAATCTGTTGAAAGAAAGCAAAGGGACATCATGGGGTCCAATAAACACAGGAGTACAAAAAGGTAAGAGAAAGAGAATGGATCACATCACAGTGGGATCACCGTTATTTTTCATTAATGAATTTAATTTACAGTTTTCCAGCATTGTATCTGAAAATGTTATATAATAACAATAGACAACAAATTGATAATGAAACAGCGGTTTCAGTTTCCTATTTTTTACTTTACTCATTTGGTCATATCAACAAAACTGACTTGGAAAAACATAGGCCCTAAAGATGAGAGGAATCAATATCGTTCAACCTGTTAATAATAAAGAAAATATCATAATCGTATTTCGCCATTAAAGGGTCAATTTTGTTTTATTTATAATTGCTCCATAAAAATCACATACTGAATTCATGGTCCGAGTTTGTAGCCGTCTTAGTAATTGCTGCTCACGCATTGGACATATAGTCATAGATCAATTAAAGTTAATGTAAATAATAAAATAGATTTTGTGCGTTAATATTAAATACATTTAAATATCCCCTCAGTGTCACTGATTTATTAAGCACTCAATGTGATGGCCTGCGAACAGGCAGGATGATATTAAACGGGCATAAACCCGAAAAGCCTAAATAAAGCAGTTCATGTTTTAATATTTGACAAATTGGAAACGGCTGTTGACTAATACCGGTAAAAGTTATTGCATTATTTTTTAAATTGGTATTATGAATAAATAATTTCAATCATACCATGATGTTTATCCGAGAACAACAAGAAAATGAATTATTTTTAGACGCTTTAAAATATTAAATGTCACAAATGATTAATAAAAAATCTTAAAATATGAAAATGTACAGTTAAAAAAATGTCTCCAATCTATTTACCACATATCCGATAAATCTACAAATTGCTCTTAAAAAAACATTGCTTGTATATCAACATGTTAATAATTGACGAGGTGATAATAAAGTGATAGAAATCCCCCACACTGCTCTGCACGGATTACTATTGGCGCAAAATCGATGATTATCACAATGTTTCACGATAGATTTGTTTGATATAATAAATGTTATATGATCCGTTTATATCCATGTGGTGTCTCCTCCAGGCAGCGGGCAGATCCAGCTGTGGCAGTTCCTGCTGGAGCTGCTCTCCGACAGCACCAACATGTCGTGCATCGCCTGGGAGGGAACCAACGGCGAGTTCAAGCTCATCGACCCGGACGAGGTGGCCCGGCGCTGGGGGGAGCGCAAGAGCAAACCCAACATGAACTACGACAAGCTGAGCCGTGCGCTGCGCTACTACTACGACAAAAACATCATGACCAAAGTGCACGGCAAGAGGTACGCGTACAAGTTCGACTTCCACGGCCTGGCGCAGGTGTGCCAGCCCTCCACCACGGAGCAGGCCATCTACAAGTTCCAGGGCAACTTCTCCCCGATCCCCTTCTCCGGGATTTCCAAACTGAACCTCATGGCTCCCGGCGTGGGGCCGTCAGGTTTCTCCTACTGGCCCGGCTCCCCGACCACGGCCCTTTACCACAGCCACAACCTGCAGCCCCCGGGGCCCTTCGGCACCGTGTCCCCGTCTCACATCAGCTGTGTCAACAACATCAACAGCCTGAGTAACATCAACAACCACTACAACTGACTTTTACTGCGTCTTCTCCACTCTCTGGAAGAAGATCAACAGCACGAGTGACACGCAGCAGCGAGCGAGAGGAGAGGTTTCAAAGAGGGCAGGAAGACTGCAGGTGAAAGTATGGTGTGGGCTAAATATATTTGGTTTGTAAAAAAATGCGTAAAAAGGACACGCATGGGCTGTTTTTAAAGGTGAGATTTTGGCCTATAGACGATGCTGAAACTACAGTTGTATGTAAGCATGAAACACTATTTAGACAAAGATGTTTTATCTTATTTGGGCCCACACATATTCCCCGACTGATCAGTAAATTCATCCAGGAGGCGCCGAAATTACGCACGTCGGTTTAACTTTTACTCGCCTTTATTAATAAGTACAAGTATTGGATTGTATTCATAAACAGCCCATGTGTTTAATTTCCCTATTTCATCCACAATCTGTGAAATTAAATCATGCATAAATAAATGTTTTCGTGTGGAAGAGCAGTTTTCCAAATGAACAAATGACAGAACATTATTTAAGATGATAGTTCCATTTTTATCAGTTCTCATCCTTCTGCTTCGCCTCATCCACTCTTTGAGGTCTGGGTCTGTTTTTATACACAAGATGATTGTGGGAGCAAAATATCAACTATTTCTGGACTACTGGCGCCATCTTGTGGTTTTATGAAATAGCCAAATGCTCGCTGGACTTAATAACAAAGTAAATCTCACCACCACCACGACAATATCATCTTAACCAGTCAACTTCTCAGTTTTCTTTATTACAGAAATTACTAACACGTCCTTCACTCACTTGCAATAAAATAAAAGGCCTTCACAGGTATAGAGCTGTAATTTGTGTGACAAGTGAATAGTAAGAGAAACTGTGAATCCTCTGTAAATACCGTAGGGTGCGGACACGCTCAGGCTGTCGCTGCTTTTTAGTGATTTTGAAGTGAATTACAGTGCATCCATTCTCATGAGCTCCTTCTGTAGCTAGAGCAACTGTACCAATGACAAACAAATGAAGTGAATAAAGATAGATTGTTACGATCAAGCCTCTTTATGTCTCTGAATTGTGCATCAATGAACACTTTGCTTCATCACCAAAGCACCACCGTGCCAGTAAACACTGCACACTGTTTTAATGTGGTACAACACTCCCCTCTAAATGTACAACTTTAATTGGATCGTATGATAAAGCAGTGTTTGAATCAGATTAGAATGATGGGAAGTGTACAAGGCAAAATGAGAAGATATAGAAATGTTCACACACAGTGGACAGTATGACACTGTGTTGACTTGTGATACTGAAGGTGAGCAGGTTTGGCTGCCTCATTTACCTACAGTGAAACTGTTGCTCCAAGCTCAGTTACAAGGCTAACATTGTGTGTCTATAAATAGTGTTTATAGAGAGATCATTTATGAATATATTTTAATATGGGATTTTCCCCGATATCCAGATGCCTATTCTACTCTTGTTCCTCCAGTGACTCATGACAGTCTCTGTTCTAAGGAAGGGCGACTCAACTGCACGACACAGCAGCATCATTAATTCATTTAATTACATGTTTAACATAATACAACTGGAAGAACAAAAGCTATGACTGACAATGCTCATTCTCACGCTCAGTCCTTGGACACAGCACAAAAACATTTGAGATCTGAATTGGCTCCAGTTAAAAACTGTATGATTTTTGAAGGTTAATAGTCAAATGATAAGTTTGTTCTGGACTGGAGTATTCAATCTGAAAAGCTAAATCTAGGAATTAGCATTTTTGGTTTGCGGTATTTTATGGATTTAGTCAATACTCTGTATCATACTTGTGTTTTTGTACCTTTTCTGTGGTACTTGGCTGCAGCTGAAGCTCATGTAGCACAGAGCTGTGCCACAGTGTGACACTGGATATTGTTTTCCACACGAGGGCGCCATACCTCTTCCAACAAACAGTGCCCTGTTTACATAACTCAGTGACAGCAATGTTGGTCCATTATAGAACACAGAGGCGTCTGCAGAGAGGAGATTAACCCCAAACCTCTTTCTGTGACAGTGCAACAGAGACTTAAAGTGCGTGTGAGTGCGTGAGTGTGTGGGGGGTAACTCATTCACTTATTCACCACAGTAGTGTTTGTGTGTGTGTGTCCTGCATATTAAAATGAAAGAAGTGGGGTTGCTATTGACAACTGAATCCCTCTGTCACACATACACACACTTGTCTCTCTATAGTTGTGAGGACACTCCTAACCCCACCTAAGCCTAATTCTAACCCTAAAACCAAGTCTTATTCCTCAAAAAGGCCATTGAATTTGTGAGGACCAACCAAAATGTCCTCACAATGATGATATTGAGCCAAAATTGGTTCTATAAATCTATAGATAGACACACACACAAACACACACACATCCAGAGAGAGTATCCTGATGTGTTGCACACGCTGTACTTTCTTGGAAGCTCTGCAGGGATTGATTGAGTCACTTCCGAAACATTGTAATTGTCACTGCTTCTCCACTAATCTGCTGAGACTATTGTTGCTTCACTCATCCTCTCTCTCCCTCTTGCATAACAGACTAGGTGGGTGTTTTCCCTGCGAACCACAGGATTAACAGTGTGAATGCAGAGCGAAGACGAGGAGCGACAACAAAACATGAGCAGGAGAAAGAACCAAGAGGAAAAGCAGAGAATGTCTTTGTACTCCTGTTTCTTGGGAATATAAAGGCATTCTGTAAAAGTTTGGTGTAAGTTAAAAAATGAAAGGTGTGACTCAAATGGGTGGGTTGGGAAATCAAACTCTCAGGAAATTAAGACAAGGTTAATATAGTGAAAAAAAGTCCTGAATTTCCTCAAACCCTCAGAGACCTTCATCATGAGCATGAGGAGAGTAAGAAGAGTGAATTCAGGTAATCTGGGGCATTGGGTGACGTGGGACACCTAAGCTTCGGTTTGTTTATCTCCTGTTCAACATCTAGTCAACATGACTTCATAGGGATGATGTCAGAAAAGGGCGGGGTAAAAGTCAATCAGAAGCATGACGAGGTCAATGACATCAGATTCTGACAAGATTTATGTAAATGATATAAATCTGTCATAAGTAAGACAATGTTCCTAATTTTTTCCAAAAAGAGCAGACGGGCTTTCAGATTGAAAGTGAACAAAGCTGCGCCGCTGCAGGGAGACGGAGCTGCCGCGCCTGGAGGACCCGCAGTCTGCAGAAAGAGTTTAAAAACATCCCCATGTTTCTAAGAGTCTTTAAAGGACTAAAAGACCAACGTTGTTTGTGAAAAGATGCATAGAGTTGTTTTAGTTTTTTAAAATGTGTTTTTGTCAGGATCAGGGAAAAAAAGCAGGGGCCAGTAAAATAAATAAAGGTTTCCTTGAGCAAGGTAAAACTAAAACTACAAAAGGACAAGATACAAAAGCGAACAAAGTCCAGAAAACTAAGCTCACAGAAACAGAAAAACACTGAAAACCAGAAAAGACTGCAAAAGACTAAACTGAAACAACATTAGAAACACTAGGAACAAGAAGACACTGGGAACAAGAAGACACTGGGAACATGACAGCAAAACATGACCAAGAGACAAAGACAAAGGGAAGCACTGAGACTTATATACTCAGGGGAGACAGGGCTGATTGAACACAGGTGAACCACATGATGATCAGGAGCAAACAATCCCTGGGGCAGGAAACAGGACAAACACAGGAAGTGAAGCCAGAGCATACAAGGAACATCATTTCAAAATAAAAGGAAAAGGAAACACAGGTGAAAGTCAATAAAGCAAAGAGTTCATAAAACAGAACCAAAATAGTCTTTCGTGTGTAAAAGGTTCAGAGCCACAATGGCAGAATCATGACAGATTTAGTTTTTTTGTTTATCAAAAAATGTTCAGCTGTGTTGATAATGTGGGACACCATGCTTTGGGTATTCTTGGACAATCATTTAACTTCTCTAAATGGGGAAATATGCATTTAGGGAGTGACGTAAAAGAGAAGAGATGTAAATGATCTGCAGTTGTCAGACAGATTAATGGTAAATACAGTCTGTCCCTGTCTGTTTAGACTGATTGTCTGGTTAGTAACTAGCACATACTCAGTTAGGACACAGATGATCCAAAAAGCACAGAAGAGTCTGTCCTGTGGTCATCAGCCTCTAGTTTCACCAAACATGTGGAGATGACAATGGGCTGATAGATGATGATGGTCTTGTTATTGTTGCGTGCTGTTGATTACATTTTAATTTATATTTCAAAATTGTGATACACCTTTTATATAATGTTTAAATTTTACTTTATTTAGGCTAGCTAAAATATAACATGTTAATATGAAGTATTCATAGAAACGACCTTTCTATGAATACTATACATTTTCTTATTCAGTTTTTTTTGGTCAACTTTTCAGAATACTTTTCATAATACTGATTATTAAGGTCAGTATGCATAAAGCAAAGTGATGTATGCTTTTTTTTTAAGTCTAATACAAGTGTACCAGATTACAAAATGACCTGTCCCAGATTACCAAAACAGATTATCTGAATTTTCTATTTTGACCCAAAGAACACTAAAAACTGTGTCATGTTCCTCTGATTATGATATCGCCATTCTTTCTTCTCTTGTGGTTAAAACAGAACATTAAAATTTGTTGGTCTAAGGTAATTAAGATATCGGAATAAACACAGAAGTCAAAATTCCTAAAAAATCATAATTTTGTAGGGGGTTATAGTCAGGTGTCTATTAATCACACATCTGTGAAAGAAACGGTCCCTCAGGCCCAACAGTGCGCATTTTCATTATTATGAGGATGCAGGGTATGAGGCAGTCAGCGGGTTTTGTGCGAAGTGTTACAGTCAGTGAGTCATTCCTCCACCAGAGGAGAGTGGTAATGAGGCCTTGGCTAAATTAGAATGCTAACACCTACACGGTGCTGAAATAGACTTGAGAATGACGGGCGGAGAGAAAGAGGTGTGGATGAAGGAGAGAGAATCCCAGAGAGGGAAGAACACTTTACTCCACCGTACAGTATTGACCCTTTTATCACATGCACCCACATGTCTGGGTATAGACCTACATCCTTTCAGATAAAATCACACAAAAAAAATCAGTAATCATGGTCAGAAAACCTTCTCTAGAGTTTGACCATGATATCTATCTGTATTTATTCATCCCTTGTGAGTCTAATATTAAATAAATTAGTTATTCTACTAATTTTGAGAAACTCCCCACCAGGATATTATGACTCAATCATTACTAACTTATTATGATGGGTTTTCAGCATTATTTAACTCATAATATCTGGGCTTTACCCATTTAACCCTTGAAATTGACATGCCCAAAATTAATAGACTTTATATCTGCAGCTTCCAGGGTTTATATGAATATTGATGGTATCTATGTAAAGGTAAAGGGGATTTTGGGATTTCTGCAGAGGTGTAAGCATCATTATATATGTTTCTATGAAGATGGAACACCAACATAAAAGATTTCATGACCACCTAAAAAAAGAGAATTTTAAATGTTCACATGTTCTGATAATTTTGAGAGAAAACAGAAAATCCACTAATGCATTGCTTGAAATATTAATTTGCCAATTTGGATAATAGTCTGGGCTGTGAGCACAGGTTTCCTTCAAAATCCAAGGTCGGACTTTATCTGTTACATAAAATAAAATGCCTAAATAGTCATTCAGATTCGTGCAGCATGAAATGATTCACTGACAAATAAAGAAAAGAAAATGACAATGAACATTTAGTGGGTGTGTGTGGTCAATGGAGAGGTTTTTTTAGTACACCAGGTTTGTATATTATATAACAAATTCAATTTCAATATAAAAGTTGCCATGTAAATATGTCGGTATGTACTTATATAACATATTGAGATTAACAATAGATGAAGCAGATAACTCTTCAATGACAGAATGGAGTGAATGAAGAGTCTGTGTCCTGGGTTTCTCAGCGGAACCTGATTTCATCCTGCTAAGTGGTGACCAATGACCTTTCACTTACAACTCAACACAGAGGTAATCTAGTTAAAGAGATTAGCAGCATGGCTATGCAGCAAGAGGACAGCAAAATAGACATAATCCCTGCACAGAGTTCCCTCAGTTGTTCCAGATTTGGTCCTTTGTCGACTCAGATGAGGTTGACAAACGTTAAGTCAAAGAGAATCCCTTTACAACAGAGCTGAAAGAAAATCTTCATCATCATTGTCTTTCAACAGATGTGGAAGTATTCAGATACTTTACATGAGTAAAAATACCAATAGATTAATGTAAAACTATTTAAAAGTTCTGTAATTAAAATCCCACTCCAGGAACAATAAATATTTCATGAAGTAATTTGACAAATACCAAGGACTGGTTCTGCAATAAATGTGATTGATATTTTACTATAAAAGACATTATTCGATTATTAATACAGATTCATCAACCTTTTTAACTACATTGTTATCGCCACCAAAGAGGTTATGTGCTCATCCCTGTTAGTGTGTTGGTTTATGTGTTTGATTGTATAAGAGTGCACAAAAACAACTGGGCGGATTTCCACAAAAGTTAATGGAAGGATGTAGTATTGGCCAGGGAAGAAGGCAGATCCAAGAATGTGTTCTCACCCTCCGTCAACATTGCAAATAATAAATAAATAATAATAGTACACTTTTATAACATTGTCAATCAATCAATTATTCAAAGTTAATTTGTATAGCCCATATTCAAAAATTGTCTCATAGATCTTAACAAAGTGCAACACTTTCAGTACTCGACCCTCAACAAGAGGAAAATCTACATAAAACTAAAAATATTGAAATCTATGCTTTATTTTTCCCAAACCTCTCATGTTTTTTCATATAATATCTCATTTAGAAAGTAGCAAATAACTTAAGCTGTCAGATAAATGTGACAGTGGAGTGAAGGTTGCAATATCAAAACTGTCAATCACAGTGGCTGTATGAATATATGAGTTGTACAGCACTTGATTGGCTGTGGAGGCTCGATAAAGTGCTATTTCAATGCAGCCCAGTCCATTTACAACCCACAGAAACAAACAACTTACAACATAACTGTGGCATTACTAGTTGACTTGCGTTAAATCACTGTATTATACTGTTATTGTATACTTGTGTGTTTTTCTACACAGCTAAACATAATTTACAATTCTCAGAAAGTCTTATTTAAGGAACCTGAGCGTGAGATAATATTACACAAACACTGCTGTGCATGTCTTCAGTGTTACTGTGTTGTGCTGTGCTGCAGCCCACGCTCTCAGCCCCGTACAGCTCACTTTGTCCAGCTCTCATTCACTTACCTACCCGTTACTATAGAGACACGGCCGAGAAGAATGCAGAAAGCAGGCTGGCAGACAGATATTCAAGAGACCTGGGTTGAATCTTAATAACGAAGCAAAGGCTGGTAACACTGCACTGGGAGGCTGTTACATAACGACGCTGCTAGATTCTGTCACACAGAATCAACCTGTGAAGAAAAAACACTCAAGATGTGACAAGAAAGGTTTTTTGACCTTTGTGTTTTAATTCCTTTCACTGTGTGACTTCACAGGTCAGAACAGACAAAGCTGCTGTGCTGTTTGCTGAAACTGTGATACCATGCAAGATTACTGTTTAACATATGGATAATATAACATGGTGACTTCAGCTGTAGACAACAAGACAAGTAGAAATGTGTTACACTGTTTTTACAATATGTACTTATTTAGTAAATACAAGAATTTGAGGTAATGTGTGACACATTTTTTGACAAAATGGACTTTAAGGTTTCAGTTAAGGACAGAGCTATAACTTGATGGTGCCAAGGTTCACCTTTTGTTTTAGATAGGTTGGAATGATTAAATAAATTATGGATGGATGGATGGATGGATACTTTCTTTTTCATCAGACTGGTGTTTGATTGCATACTGAGTTAAAGGAAACCTGTCTGTGTGTCCCCTCTCCATCCCTCTGTCTTATCATCCGTGCCATTTTGTTTATGTCTCTGTCCTTGCTCCACTTTCTTACCAAGTCTCACTACCCCACCTACTTTTGAAACTATTTCCCTCCTGATCCCTTTGTGTCCTGATTTTCTTTCTTTTCTGGTCAATTCTGTCTGCATCCCTCCATGTTAGCTTTCTTAATAGATAGTGTATGTCCCTGTTAGACCAACACACACACACACACACACAGAGGGAAGGAGGGAGGGAGGGAAGGAGAGAGAGAGAGAGAGAGAGACACAGACAGTTCTGAGACTGCAGCAGATTCTAACCAATCACATGAAGGAACCCTCCAGCCCATGTGGCTTATTCATAAAACCAGGAGGAAAGCCTTGTCAATCTGGCTCCATTCTGTCATTCAGTAAATCATCCACAGATCTGAGGGAAGCTTCTGCACCTTCAATGATTTTGTAAAAACATTTTAAGTATGGCTTTATTATACACATAATGCTTTTTTATGTATTGTTTTCATATTTCTTGAAATCATTATCAAAACTGCAGCATGTAAGACAGTTTAAGCAAATGAGTGCAGGCAGGTTCCTCCTTTCATTGTGGGGTTTGTACAAATTACTTTGTTACTGTTTAGTGTTCCCATTTCAGTACATGGCCTCAATCAGAATACCCAGGGCACACACGGATGAGAAGCCAAAAATACCCTTTAAATGTGTCAGCAGGCTTCGCTGTCCTCAGTGTGCACCACAGCTAATTCATCTGCAACACATGCATGGATGTAATGTAGCTGTTTTCACAGATAAGTCATTTGCCCGTCCTCCTGGTGGTATATAATGATTCGCCTCTGTAAACTTTTCCTTGTATTTATAACACTATTTGGTGAGTTTGGGTTTCATGGCAACCAATGAATTCTCTGGGGTTTCGGTCTCATGGCAACCTCATGGCAAGTATATTTGTCATAGACTTATTTCTATTGCATAAGCGGGTCTCAAGGGCTCCCTTCAAATCAAGGATTAGTGGGCGGTACCAGTCGATAAGAGGCTGTCCATGGTAATTACCGCTTCAGCAAACTACAAGATCTGTACAAACATGGGGCCCAAGGGTGTGTGCATATGTGTCAGCGGACACGGACATAAACATCCAGACAAAGCGTTAAATGATCAAAGCAATGCAAGAGAGACCAGAGATTCTACATAAGTTTGGATTTATTTCATCATGGTCACCATAAACATTCACTGTATAGGCCTTTTATTAACATATAGAGGGAGTGAATGCGACTGTGGCACAAAACCACAGACAACACACACACATCTAAATATTATTCTCCGTACGACATATAGGAAAAATGAACTGTACAAAAAAGCTCTATGTCACAGATGATCGTCCTACAGCGAGACTCGGTGACAGTATAACTGCAAACTTAATGGCAAACACTCCAGCACCCGAAAAGAAAACATTGGTACATGGCCATTATGTTATACCGCTGTGCAAAAAACATCAAGAGTTTGTTCACAGCTGTGCAAAATAGCAGCATTATATTCCACTTTTCCAAAACAATGAATTCACAACACAACATCACAATGAGCACTAATAGAATGACCGTAATACTGAATACTAACTGTCACGTGTGCCCAATGATTTTGGTTTCAGAGTCTGATTGAAGTGACTTTTTAGCTTATAGAAACTGCAATGACACCTGTGTGCAAATGCTTCTGAATGAGGCATTCACACTCAGTATTTACATTATGAGGAAACATCCTGTCAGAACATGAAGATGTATCCAGCAAACCGAGGCTCACGGCACACATTTACAGAACAGGGCAAAAATGCTGTTTGACCATTAAGCGCTATTTTTTTTTGTTGCAATGCTTGGACTACAGTACATTATATGCAGCCACCTTAAGAACAGAACAAATAAATAAAAATAAACAGCTAATTTAACACATGGGATTTGTACATGTAAACCATAGAGTTTCAGGCCATGACATTTTACAGTTGGCACATATGGGATTTTAAAAATCCTCTTGGAAAAAAACGATATATTCCATTTACTCTAGTTGACCTCTGCAATATACTGCAAAGCAATACGTCACAGCAGCCAACATGTATTGAAAAGCAATACTCAACAGAGGCCTTGTGTTGATTATGTTGCTGTATGTGGGCATCTACAGGCCCATTTAGTGCAGTTTATCACATTCTACAGGGGGAAAATACTCCCTTTACTCATTTTACATTTCTGCTCAACTTACACCAGTGGCCGGTTGCAGGTACATTACTACAGTATGACATAGGTAGGCAAAAACTAGTTATATTCATTCACAATTACGTTGCCGTCATGACAAATTTGGTGTCACACAAAGAGGAGATGAAATCAGCCAGGTATTAAAATAGCATCCTCTGCAGGATGGAGCTTTTAGCATCCACTCAAGGTTAACAATCGGAAACAAGCTTTTTTAAAGTAGAGAGAATATCTACAGATGTACAAAGAAGTGTGTTTCGTTCCTCTTGAGGAATCATGCTTCTGTTATCTGTTGCATGTTTAACAGCTTTAACTACCACTGCAGGCTGTGCACGGTGCATGTATACTGCATACCTCTGCAGGCTTAGGCTTATGTGCTAAAGATGCACTGATGACCGGGAGCAGTTCTTAAGCCACGCTCTCCTCTGTTGTGGAAAAGTGAGCAGGAGGAGGTGGTGGTGGTGGTGTTGGGGGGAGGTGGTGGCTGCACAGGTCAGCACCTCGGACAGCTCCGCCTCTACAGCTCCCCTTCACGGATGTGTTCTGCCCGGAGCCTCGCCTCACTGCGACATCCACTCACCGACAACCGGAGAGGGGGCTAATCGTGGGGTTTGAGTGTTTGTATACCTGCGAAGTCAATCCCTGTCGCAAGGGACAAGACAAAAAAAGAGAGGACAATATACCACTGGCATGCATTAATGAGATCTCCTACACTGTAGCCTAAACACCACACTGACGTTGTTGATCATGATGGAGATATTCAGCCCCCCCCCAGGCGAGAAGCCCCTCAGTCCTTTGATTCAAATCCACCGTCGCGTGGTTTTGCAAAAAACATTCATCTTCTTTTTTTTTTTTTTATGAAATAAAAAACCATCAGTCTTGTTCGTTCCCACGTCAGCGATCCAGGTTCGACTCGACGCTGGTGTCTCGCTGGTTTTTGAGGTCCTGGAAGACCTCGGTGAAAAAGTGCGGGTCCGCATTGAGCTGCAGCATTTTGGCACTCATCCTGTTGATGATCCGCAGCGACGTCTGCCAGAACACGTCCTTGTTCGAGTCGATCATGAACGGCTTGAGCGGGTAGGAGATCTCGTTGCCCATGTAGGAGTATGCGAGGTAGAGGCAAGTCTGGAAGGTGCCCTGCAGCTCGGCGGGGCAGGAGACGCTGTCCGCGATCGCGTCCTCGCACAGCAGGTACACGAACACCACGTTGGCCGGCGTGATGAAGCCTTGGTCCTGCCAGCCCTGGATCAAAAGAGTCCGGTCGATGTTGCGGAACCAGAGGATCACCTCCCCGCTGCTGAGCTCCTTCAGTTTGTAACACCTGCGGCACATGAAGTCCCCCAGGCAGCGCAGCAGCTCCCCCGTGGACGCCTGGATGACGATGCGCCTCGGGGACACCAGAGACAGGCTGCTGGGCTGCTTCTGCACCGAGGAGAGCCTCCCGTTTTGGGTGACAGCTTCATTGTTAAGCGTGGGTACCGTGGGCACCGGGACGGGGATGGGCGCTTTGGGTTTCCTCTCTTCGTTTTGGTGCGTTTTCCTGATGTTCTCGCTGTTGAGCTGGGCCACCTGGCTGCGAGGGATTTCGCGCGTGGACACCGGGTTCGGCGTCACCTTCTTGGCGCTCTTCTTGGCCGAGGTGGACACCAGCTTCTTCCAGGAGAGAGAGACGAACATGGAGTGCCGCTTGATGCTTTTGTCGGTCTTTTCTCCGGCGACCTCTGAGTCCATGATAGACGCCTTCTTGGACGCGGGGGATATGGAGAGGACGGTGCCCATGTCTGCAGAGGAGGGAGCCGCGGTGGTGTGACGGATGCTGCAGCAGCTTCAGCGCAGGATCTTCTTCAGGGTGAGAGGCGGCGGAGAAGAGTCACGACGACGATTGAAACTCCATTTACGCGTTTATCTCAGCCCGTGTTATCGCTCCCGGCTCACTGGATGAGGCTGGGGCTGTGTGTTCGTCCAGAGAGGAAGTTGTATTCCAGCAGATGCTCAGTCGGCGCCACGGGGGACGCTGCGACACGATCCTGTGGCTGCAGACAAAACCGAGATTAGTCGCACTGAGTCAATTCTCTGGTTTGAACGAACCAACGAGTGCAGCCCAATGACTGACAGCCGAGTCGGCCAATGAAGAAGCCGATCAATGATCCAATCACTAGGGGTTTTGTTTTGAGGGCTAAGCTGCCATAAATAGCATATTAACAGGTAGCCTGCACTTGAGAGGCTCAGGTGCTGTTCTTACTAGTCCAGCTACTTTGGGACAGTGCTATCTATATGCTAGACCGTCTTTACTCTCAGCTGGTCCAACATCAGAAACCTGGGTTCATATACTGAAGGATGTGTTCAGGTTATATTCCATGAGTTGGTTTCCATTATTTGTTAATTCTTTATAGGCCACTGGTGGACTTGTCCTGGTCATTTTCCTCTTTGCGCAGACATGTAACAGTTACATCCTATTTCAGCATCAAAATCCAACTCTGGGAAAACTTGATTTCAAATATTTCCTATACTGTCATGTGTGTGATGCCAGACAAGTTGGATCATGTTTTAAAGACAACACATCACCTATATACCAAGGGAGTCCATGTTTATTTCCACTCCCGCATGTCCCAGGAAACACGGGTCATCCAATTACCTGAATCAGATCAGGCCCTCATCCACTAAGTGACGTGACTACTGTCTGATCTTTCCATTCAGCTGGAAATGGAAACAGATACAAATAGCACCGGCAGTCACCTGTGGAGTAGTGGCTCATGGACTTATTTGTGAGGTGAAGCTTTAGCCTACAGATGAATATAAGGGAAACAGTCAGTAGCCTTATAGCCTGTTACAACCCCTAATATTATAAATAAATACTTCATGTCAGCCTGGATAATGAATTGTGAAGAACTTTAGCAGCCAGTGGGTACACTGTTAACCTTTGCTGTGTTTTTACACTTAATTACCATGAAATACACAGTACAAATGCCATAAAACATCATTACAGTTATTGACATTTTAATAGCATTGTGGGTAAAGTGCATGATGCACTGTACTGTACTTTTGGAAATTTAGAATACTAGTTAAGACATTTGTGGTAGTGCTATAAGTTCAGCACAGACAACAGATAACATGGGTAAATGTGAAGGAAGATCTTGCAGCAATCACAAAGTACCTTTTAAAGGGGAGAAGGGGATATAGTAGATTGTATAAGCTTTTATTGATAAATCATGATATTTGAATGATATTTATATTACAATTTAAACAAATACATCTAGGTACAAAGAGGACAAACATGGGCCTCTGGATCCAGTTAAATCCTGTGTTGTGCTTTACTGGTTTAGTGATGAGGAGATTGGAAGTTTTCCATGTCTCCTCGAAGTTGTAAGTAACAAGAGATAGAAACAAATCTTAATTTACATAATCCTCTATACAGCTGCTGCTCCACCCATCATTGTCATCACATTCACAAATCTACATCATCATCACTGTTAACTCAACAACACCAATTCAGTAATATAATTATCATCTCCACCATCATAGCTGTATAATAACAATGACAACCAAACTCATCAATACACGATTGAAATCAAAGTCTAATGCATCTGTTGAAATGGTCAAAACAACTGTGTGGAAATAAAAGGTTAAAGTAAGAAGAGCTGAATTCAGCTGAATAAAGGACAACAATGTTCCAAAACTGTGAAGTGCTGAGAGTGCTCCCCATTTCTCACACACTCGTTTGATCACACCAACGTTTGATCGGGCACATGGCGATCAAAAGAAACACTTTCATCACAAATCAAACAAAACGCAACAGGATGTGACAGCTGAATAATCTCAATAAGCCTCTGTGGCTGTGTTGTACATTACTACTTAGATACCAAATATATATATAAAAAAATCACAGGACTGCTGAAGAATCAATTGTGAACAGTTTCGTCAATTTCTCCTTTTTTTTAACATTTTGTCTTTCACTTTAAAACACATTTCAATATATCATTGTTAAATAATTTAGCAAATGGCAACTTATACAGTTAGTGCCTCACATACATGTTTTGAATATGAGAGGGACTGCATATCCTAAATGAGTTAAAGCATTTGTAATTGTAAATGTCATGTCAGATTAAAGTTGTATTAACTTCTTTTTTGGCCACTAAGGGGCAGTAGCTGTAAATGCAACATGTAACACCGACATAATAACATTAAAAATCAATGAGCATGGAGTTGGATTTGTTTTTCTGTCCTGCTGAATCTAAGCCAATCTTAGCTCTGTTTTGGTCTCTACCAACTATTTTCAATAATGCTAATTTTAAAGACAGGCCATGGCCATAGAGCTGAGATAGACAGATCTGAGAGGGGCAGCAGAGCTGGGAGATATTTTCTCACCATGATTTATTACTCTCTTTTCACAGCCATTGGATCGGTGGTTTCTATAAATACACAGATGAATGCAGCTTGGATACCAAACTAAATACCACCACACTGCAGTATTAAATCTATATATGAATTAACATATCATTTGTATGTTCCACAATGTACAAAAACAATGTACTGTAAGTTTATGAACTGCAATTTGTTGCTGAACTTAATAAAAAAACAATACTACAAACTAAAATTGTATACAGTGATTGCAAGGAACTTCAGTCAATTGCCTGATAAAGATAGGACATATAGGTGGGATAGATTTAGAAGGCAAAAACAACCAGAGCTGAACACAGTGTGGCTGAATTTTGTCTCATCAATATCCTTCCAGCAGAGGTTAAGTTCTGCCAGCTCACTGAAAACGATGCTTTACAGACAGTGGGATCAGGTTGCACCCCACACACTATGCATAATATAACAGAATCTGCTTGGCAACAAATGACACACGTTGGACAGAATATACCATTAAAAAGTAAATCATACAGTCAACTAGGTACACAGAACCTAGATCACCTGCCAATATAATCCAAGATGGCCTGTGCATATTGTATAACAGTTAAACACAGTGTATATAGTATATTTCATTGCTTATCAACTGCTGACTAAGACAAAAAGGAAAAAGTGCAAAGCATCATCAAAACATTTCAGCTTCAGTTTGCATTTTCTGGATTATGCAACAAGATTCTTCTGTGGTTGACAGTCAGTCCGAAAATTCTCTCTACATTCGTTGGGGTAAGTTTGCCTCCTAGTGGTCTTTTAGGGTAAATACAGCAGCTGCCATATCTTACTTTGTCCTCTGCACTACCTATATTCCATTCTAACCTGATCTGATCATAACACATTCATTCTGAAATCACTTCACTTTCCCAAAGTGGGGAAACATTCAATCCTAAATTAATAGAACAGTATCAGCATAACATCATAATGACATGTTTTTATTCCTGATTGACTTTGAAATAACCGTTCTTCTTACTTTAAAAACATCTTACTTACTTTTTGTCAAGTTGTGAAGTTTTGTAAAGGCTTTTATGTTTATAATGTGTTGTCACAGTTTAAAAAATGACAGCTTCATAGGGATTGTTATTTATATTTAAATATCTTTCATACTTACTTTAAAGTTTCTACATTATTTACATAAGAAAAAGTTGAGAAAATACAAGAGAGAGATCACCTTGATCTTTATATTGATTTTATTTTCAGAAAAAGAAATGTACTCTGGATCATGATTGTATGATTTGAACTCGATATCCTTTTGCAGACAGTGCTGACATGCACTGTAAAAAGTATGTACAGATTTTCAAAGTTGACAAAACCGTTTTGTTTTCAACTCATGCACTCACTGTCAAAATGTACCACATTGATTAAACTGTTTCAGAATCTGTTTTTGTCTTTCATGATTTACCAGGACAGACACAACCAACCAGTGAATCTGTGAACAAGTCATGAGTGGACCACTGGAGGGCAGCCACGTCCAGTCGACTGCAAATCAACCCAGATGGTGAGGAAATATTTGTCATGTGGGGCTTTCTGGTGACCCCTACTGTCAGCGGGCGTCTTCACCACCTCATCCCAAACATTTAATTAGTTGTAGTGAAGCTGTGGAATGACATATCAGAATGACTGAAGAGAGGAGGAGGAGTAGAGGTTTCTGAGACCTCTGACTAATATTAGCTGTAGTGACAGAATCCCCCCGTCAACTAACTGAGGGTCTGCCAACAGGACAGTGGGAGTGAGGAGACAGGGGGTGGGGGAGAGAGCCCACAGCTCAGACAGCAGACAGATAGCTTTAAAAGTGTCCTGTGTTTTAATATTAGTCTATGTTGGACAGACATAAAACAGATATACAGATGTGATAAATTACACTGTCAACTTAATTCTGCATAAAAAAAGCGCCTGTTGGCAACAGTTTCTTCCCACGGGCTATCATGCTTAATTCTCTAAGAAGTTGCACATTTAAAACAAGCTACATTTATGTTTAAACCATAGTATTTATGCTTATTATTATGCATTTGCTTATTTAGTAACTTTGGTTTTTTGTGTGTGTTCGTGCATGTGTCAAGGGATCATGTTGTGGGGACCTCAATCTGTCACATTATGGGGACTTCTCTTTCTTATGGGGACAAAAATCAACCCCCCCATTAATGTAAATAATGTAAGACATGTTTTAAGGTGAGGTTAAGGTAAGGGTAAGAGTTATAAGGTTATGATAAGGGTTAGGGTTAAGGTTAGAGTAAGTCTCCAGGAAATCAATGTGATATCCTCAGATACAACTCTGTGTGTTTGTGTGTGTATGTGTGTGTGTGTGTGTGTGTGTGTGTGTGTGTGTGTGTGTGCGTGTGTGTGTGTGTGAGAGAGATCCAGCAGCAGTAAAGGGATCAGGTGTCTTGTCGTCTTATCGCAGACGTGTCTGTCAGAGCCGGTGGGAGGGATTAGCGTGGCTGACACAGGCAGGTGGAGACAAAATACAATCTACAGAGAGAACGGAGCAAGAGAGAGGCAGGTGGGATCTCACACAGACACACAGACACACACACACACGCAAACAGGTGGGTCACTGTGAATGTCACAGACAGAGCTGCCTCTCCTCCTCTTGTCTGCAGCTGCATGGCCATGAGGTTGCTGATAATGCTGCACGCACACACATTTACACACACACTTGCCAGATATTCACATACTTTCCCATCCATGACAAAGCAGGATTGTTAACACCAGTGAATGGGGCACTTATATCCTAGTCATCCT